CTGCTGGGCTTTTAATTGTTAAATACAAAAACATGATTTGCAGACATAAAAACCATTTTTAGATTAAGGGCCATGAGAAATTTATTATTCTCTATTATATTAATAACCCATTACTAATTTTTATCCAGACTGTTTCTGTATTCAGGGAACATCCCCTTAAGGTCAGTCAGCCAGCCTCTGAAGGGCATGGATAGAGGAGATTGCTCTGGGTACCCAACCAGGAGACCTTACTTCTGTTTGAAGTGTAAACAGAATCTAATCCAGGTGAATTCTTGCTCTGAGGGAATAAGCCCACATCCTTGGCACCTCTCTGTTGGAGTTTAGGGTGATCCAGCTCATGAAGGAGAAAAACCACCAGAGTGGTCTGGGTGAAGAGGGATTCCCCTGTCCAGATTGCTGGCGCTGGTTGAGTTTCAAGATCAAGCCACTGTCTCAGCAGGAGGAACTAGAGTTTTAACCCACCTCCTCATTAATTCAACAATTGGGGTTGATTTTCACCTGTCAGGGACACCCCCTTCCCCAAATGTATTTAAGGCATTTAGCGTCTCCATGGGGTTTGTCTCTGGTTACTGAGAGAAAACACTGACCATTAATAATTAGCCAGCCTATTTAATAGATTATTACCCAGAAACTGTCTCTGGGGTTTTTTCATTGTCACAGCCATACAGAAACAGGTGTTTTGGTTTGCCAACCCTGACGTATAGAATGTGGCCCTTGAGCTGAGTTTTCAAAGAAATGAGTTTTAAGGTAGAGGTTGAAGAAGGGAGTACATTCCAGGTATGGTGAACAACTGTACAGATGCTGGTGTCAGGTTGTACGGAAGTCTAGTCAGGTGCATGCAGGATCCTGAAGGTTCCTTATAACAGCTTGATCATTTGGCTGAGCATACTGCATAGGCAATAGGGAACTCCCAAATGAGGAAAGTCCCTCCACTAATGTTGGTTGGCACCTTCTGCAAGTTACAGACAGTAAGTAATAAGTAGCCTGGGGCACTGAGGTCAAGTGAATTGTCCAGGGTCATAGAACCATAGAACCAGTATGTATACCAGGTCTTGAACCAAGGTCTTGTCTCTGAGGTTAGTTGTAGCCACTGCAAAGTAAAATCACCTTGATTAAATGAGATATGTATGTCAATTACCTTGGAACCAGAAAGCAGTATTGGGGAGGGGGGTGTGAAAGCTGCTTTTCAAACAATAATTTTTGCAGACTCGGATTTAGTCACCTTTGGTGGCCTTAGTGACTAGGTAACTGATCTATAAGACAGCTAACCTAATTTCAAAAAAGTTCACTCCAAGTTTCTGCTTTCATGATTCTCAATCAAATGAAATCACGTGGTAGAACTGATTAAAAACAGTACTTCCATATACTAAGTAGAATAGAAAAAAAAATGATTATGCCCAACTGATTGCTATATACAGCTCAATTTATTTATATATATATATATATAGATATATAAAACATGTCTATGACCATTGTTGGACCTTCCGTTTCTCCCTTTTGTTCCTTCCCCCCAAAAGCCCTACTTTATAACCAAGCACAGTTAGGCAAATTAAACCCACACGTTGGCGACGTCTGAATTTTGTTTTGAGTTATTTTCATACATATTGATCTGAGTCTTTTCCCTAGGAATAAAACTGGATAGTATGACATCATGAAGAAAGTGACCTGCAGAATTTGATGAAGATTTCTGGAGGGTGGTGGAGTCAGCACACCTGAGCTTTGATACCACAGCAACACTACGGCTGTGACTTTGGTCAGGTCACTCTCCTCAGCTTTATCTATAAACTGAGATGACCAGATGATCTAAGGTCCCTTCCAGTTGTACTAATTTATACTATTAGAGAAAATGGTAAGCTTTATAGACGTCAGTTCTTTAAATCTAAATTTTTTGTATCTGTGTGACTCTCATCTGTATCATGCTGTATGGTTTTCTTTGTTCTTAAATGTACCTACTTAGTTTCTGACTCTTTCCTACCACAAGAAGTGCAAAGTGGGGACTTTTTAACAGTGACCCTCCTTGGGGGTAAAACCTCTCTGTTCAATCTCTTGGCCAAAGAGAATGGACCTTTAAGTAGTTTTAGTTGGCAGATTCCAAACTCTTAAAATACCTTTCTAATGTTACCGATTTATAGCTTGACCAACATTAGTGTACCCATCTTACCATAATCTCCCCAATATTGATTATTGTCATCTTTGATTTACAGGTTGTGACTTGAGACCTCGTGCTTGTGGAGTTTCAGCGTTTTAGTTCAGTGCTGTGGGTTTTGGAATGTTGTTTCAGCAGATGCATGACAAAACTTATTTTGTGGAATTCTATTCAAAGGCTCTCTCAATTTGAGCCACAGTCTCTTCACTTACTCAGCGTCTCCCAGATACAGGCTTATCTAAAAATTGAGCCAGTTTCTTTGAATTTTTTTCATCCAGTTAATTAAATTTCTGTGGGGAGCCTCCTTATAAATAGGAAATAAACTTTCTTATTGCTGTTGTGGATTTGAGTTAACCAAGTACGAAGTTGACTTTCTCAAAAATTTGCCATCTTCAATAAAACAAAATTAAAATTAAAAAAGTATTCAAAAAGACATCTAATGTTAAAATGATTTTTTGATTGTAGCACACTGAACACCCTATACTCTTATTTTTTAAAGCAATTGATGTGTACCCCCTTAGTTATCATTTTTTCTTTATAAGGTTGCAGATGGGAGAGGTCACTTGTAAACTGGATGAGATGGACAGTGATGGAGTTCCCCCTCCCCTTTTGGGAGGTTAAGCAGGTTGGAATAGGTGGCAATTTCAAAATTCTGTAAATGTGCTTAAATTGGCTTGAGTAAAATTCTGCTCAGGGATTGAAAGGTTAAATTCTGAGTTGAACTTGTATGCCATCCATTCAAAATCTTTGGTTTGTAAGATTCCATAAATCTCTTAATAGCAAGTTCTCCCACAGACCCTTAACATTCATAAAAAATGAGGGCTTGCTTACTTCCCAGCTCCTTTCAGTCTACCCCACCTACCAGAGCTCTCCTCCCATTCCCTGTTTCCACCTCCCTTTGTTCTTTCACCAGCAAACCTGAGAGTAGGAACCCTCTTGTTTTTGTATCTCTAGGAGATAGCATGGGGCTTGAAACATGGCATGTAATGACATTAATTTTAAGCTGACCGCTGGTACTAAAATACCATTCGAACATGCAAAACCGTACAAAATCTAGTATGTGTACAAGATTGACCAAACAGTAAAAGACCCCCATGATTTGAAAAAAGTAGCAAATTGGCTTTTTTTTCCTTGTATATTGAATACAAATGCAGAATGAATTCTGCTAGTTACTAGATCAGAGATATCCATTACGTGGCCCTTCAGCATCCCTGTTTCAAGTTTGTATGGGTCTTTCCATGTAAATAGGCTAGGTAAGCACTCCTAACCCCCAGCTGCTTTGGCCCTACAATAGAGCCTATTGTATGTAACTATAGCTAGCCAGGATCTAATTTCCAGATTTATAGATCTACCTCTAATTTATCTTGTTGAGCTTATCCCCATCACATAGGTATCTCAAACTCACCCAGGGTATGACCATCCGAGGAGGCTTGAAACCTCCTTCTTGGACTTCATGTACCGTCCCTCTGCGTATCCAATCAGACCTGCACAACTTGTAAACTTAGGTGTTACGTTGTGCAGGCCTGTGTTAAGAGTATCTTGTATAAATTGACTCTTGGACGGTTCTAATTGGTATCCCTACCTCAGTGATTACCTCCGAAAGCCCGGGAGACACAAACTTAAGTGGCTCCCGTTACCACTTGGATCCAATATAAAATTGTGTTTCGCCCTTCACCTAATAAATCGCTAGCACTTACTTGTCCTCACAATAATTCGAGAGGCAGGTGCTGTAATTCTGGATTAAAGAATTGAGGCAGATGGCTTAAGGGACTTGCTTGGGGTCACACTGCTAGAATGGAGGCCCTTCATAGCTCTCAGCCCCCACTTCCCCTTCGCTCTACAACACAGCAGGCTCCACCTCCCTGGCTGGCCCCTGCCTCTAGCTCACCAGGCTTCCAGTCCGAGAAAATCCCTCTGACAGAGTGCGAGCACCGTGAGGGCAGGGGCCAGATTTATGCGTCACTATCATGCCTACTCGGCAGTTCCTGACGTCGTAGGTACTTAATACTCCGAACTTAAGTCCTATATCGAACTTAAATCCTATGTCGTCACGTTGACTTGGAATTCAGCGAAAATGCTTTCCCATTCACCCTTGCTGCTTGACCACGGGCAAGTAAGTCACCTCGGCTAGGAGGCTCGCGCCAATGTCCGCAAAGTGCCTCGGGCTCCACGTACGTCCCATAAGCCAGGATTTGGAGCGCCCCCGGCCTTCTGACTTGGGCCGGCCGCTCCTGGTTCTGTCCCAAGCGGCCCAGGTTTCCCGATCCCGCCGGCAGGCCCCTGACCCTGCATCCTCCCAGGTCCGGGGAGGCCTCCAGCTCTGCGCGATGACCTGTGACCCTGACCACGGGGGCAGGAGGACTGGGGGACGGATACCGAACCGCCTCTCCGAGGTGCAAATGAATAAGTCCGCGTAACTCGCGGGATTGGCTCTCCTTCCGCCGGATACCGGAAGTGTGGTCTCTGGCGCGCCTGCGCCAGCAAGAAGCTCCCCCCCTGGCAGCGTGTGCGCCTGCGCAGGACGGAGCGCCCCTGCGGCTGCATGAGCGCCTGCGCCCGGGAAAACCTTTCTTCTTCCACCCCGCCCTCCCGCCCCCTTTGCTCCCGGAAGTGTTCGCGGGGCGGGGCCGGGCCGCGGCTGCCACGTTGGAGAAGTTCACCGGTCGGGGGGAGGGGCAGCGGCGGCGGCGTCCGGAGGCGCGGCGCTCTGACTGAGTGACCGACCGATCGCCCGACGGCCTGACAGACGCCCCGGTCCCCTGTCGCCTCCACTCCCGGACCGTCCGTGCAGGGCGCCGGCGCCTCCTCCTCCTCCGCGGCGGGCTCGGAGCCGGCGGCGAAGCGGCGACAGCGGCGAGCCCGGCCCGGCCCCGGCGGAGCCCCAGGGACGGATCCCTCGGCTCTCAGGTGCGTACGGAGCCAGGGCCGGGCCAGCCCCCGCGCCTCAGCACCCCGCAGGTGCCCGGTACCCCCTGCCTCGCCGGGGCTCACGACTGCATCCTTCCGCCCACCGGGGAGGATGGGGAAACCGAGGCAGGCCGGCCGGGGGATGCCCCAGCTCGGGCCCCCCCAAGCCCGAGGCCGGACCCCGAGTCCCCACCTCGCCCCGTTTGCCCTTCGGCTCCTCCCAGGGCCGCGGCTCCCGGGCTCTGGGCTGTCAGGGACCTTTGATCCCCTCCTCCTCCCCTCCCCCCGCGAGCCCGGCTCGGGCTCCCCCGCTGTGGGGGGGGGGCGCAGACCGGCCTTGGGGGGCACGCCCGCAGGGGCGCCGGCATTGCATCCCCTTTTCCTAGCCTGGGGGTCCCCCTGCGCCCCGGGGGGCAGATGCAGAAGCAGCTGGGTTTGGGGGTGCGGAGCAGCCCCCCACCTCTCCCGGGAGCTGGGCTTGTGTGGGACGGACAGACCGCCGGTCATCGGGCCGGGTCCGGTCAGCAGACCTGCTCCGTCTCAGCAGGAGACACCGGACAGAGGATGGGGAGAAAAAGAGGAAGGAAAAAGATCAGGACTCACTTTCTACCAAGTTTGGGTTTTGTTAAACAAATAATCAGAGTAAAGTCCATCAAAGTTCTCATGACCCTGTGTCTCAGTGCTCCTTCCTGGGCTGGCGTGGTTTCCCTTTCCAAGTCTGATTTCTTTCCCTTTGCCATAAGAAGTGTCAGGATGGGTGGGTTGCTTTAATGCCCAGTTATAGCCTGTAAGTCTCATTATTTCTTCTGTAACCTAGAGTTTGAATACTTAAAGGTTTTTTCCTCTGAAAGATACTTAGCAACAAAACTGTGGAAACGGAGTTTCATGCACTAGCTGATTTATCATGATATTTATCCTGTCTTTTGTATTGGCCTCCTCACTTTTGAGGATTTCTGATGTTTCACTGGGAAGATGTGAAATCTGCCTCTGTTTGCCGGGCTGATGAAGCTTACCGGATTAAGAGATAAATCACTTAACCTCTCAGTGCCTCTGGCAATTTTCTAACCTCACCACTGCAGAGCTGGTGCAGGTTGGCTTTGGTTGAGGGAGTTTTTCATTGGGAGCTATCTACAACAATAAAATTACTGGTGTGGATTGAAAAAAAAAAAGTCTGCTGAATAGGTCAGTTTCCTCTGGTATTTAGCGTTCATGGTTAGTTTGTTTATCTGTAAGGCTGCCTTAGACAGGTCCGTCAGGCGGAGTGGGGATGGTAGTGGGTTTCTGGCATTGTAATGCTGCCTCCATGATATCGTTGTACAGCAGGATGAAGTTAAAAGAAGTGGACCGAACAGCCACACAGGCATGGAGCCCTGCCCAGTGTCATCCCATTTACCTGGCTACAGGTAAGCTGATGAGGGACATTTTGCCTAAAAATAAGTTTGCTTAGAGTTTTTTTTAATAGCAGCAAATTATTTTATTATACTCATAAGCAGACAAGAGACTGTCTTTTAGAGAAATGTCACATTTGGTCCGAAAAATTATTTGTTCCACCTGTCTTCTTTTAGTTATGTTCTGCTTTTCCTTTCTTATTTCTATTCAGATATCTGCTTGATGTCATACATGTCAAGATTTTGGATAGGATAAAGTCCTATCTTGTCACCTCCAAAAGGAACTGTAAAATACTTTAAAGCCCTTCTTAATTTGGAGCTCTCTTCCTTCCCAGTCTTTTCACCTCCTCCTACCCCCTGCCCCCTACATCCAGTGACATTGGCCTTCTTGCCATTCTTTCTTGCATAGACACTCCATCTCCCAGTACTAGGCATTTTCACTGGCTGTCCTCCTTGCCTGGAATGCCCTCCCACCTCATCTCTGTGTCCTGGCTTCTTTCAAGTCCCAACTAAAATTCCACCTTCTAAAGGAAACCTTTCCTAGCACTTTCCCTCAGTTGATTATTTTCAATTTATCTTGTATATAGAGCTTATTTATATACGTGGTTTGCCATGTTCTCTCCCCCATTAGACTGTGAGTACTTTGAGAGCACGGACTGTCTTGTATCTTTCTTTGTTTTCCCCAACACTTACGCCAGTACCTTGCACAGAGTAGGTACTTAATAAACCTTTATTGAATGACTAAAAATGAAATTTCTTATGAAAAAAGAAAATTGAAAGGAAAGACCTAATGTTGTTAATTTTAGACTTTTTTTGGAAAGAGGATTGGGGACAAATGCATTGATAAATGTATTTTTAAAATGTTTTCAATACTTTTGGATAAAAAGTATTTTATTTTTTCCAATTACATTTAAAGATAGTTTTCAGCATTCATTTTTCATAAGATTTTGAGTTCTAAATTTTTTCTTCTTCCCTCCCATATCTTCTTCCCAAGACTGTAAGCAATCTGATATTGGTTAGGCATGTGCAGTCATGTAAACATTTACACATTAGTCATGTTGTAAAAGAAGAAACAGAACAAAAGGGGAAAGCCACAAAAAAAAAAAAAGTGAAAATAGTATGCTTCAGTTTGCATTTAGAATCCATAGTTCTTTCTCTGGATGTGGATAGCATTTTCCATCATTAGTCTTTTGGAGATATCTTAGATCTTTGCATTGCTGAGAAGAGCTAAGTCAATCATAACTGATCATCGTACAGTGTTGCTGTTACTGTGTATGTTTTCTTTTTGCTTTACTCAGCATCACTTCATATAAGTCTTCCCAGGTTTTTCTGAAATCTGCCTGCTCATCATTTCTTATAGTACAATAGTATTCCATTACAATAACGTGCCACAATTTGTTCAGCCATTCTCCAGGTGATGGGCCATCCCCTCAGTTTCCAATTCTTGACCACCACAAAACAGCTGCTATAAATATTTTTGTACATGTAGGTCCTTTTCCCTTTTTTTATGATCTCTTTGGGATAAAGTATTGCTGGATCAAAGGGTATGCAGAATTTTATAGACCTTTGGGCATGGTTCGAAATTGCTCTCCAGAATGGTTAGGTCAGTTCACAATTCCACCAACAGTGCACTGGTGTCCCAATTTTCCCACATCTTCTGCAAGATTTATCATTTTCCTTTTCTGTCATGTTCGCTAATCTGACAGGTGTGAGGTGGTACCTCAAAGTTGTCTTAATTTGCAAGTAACACTTTTTTTTAACAACTCTCACTTCCCAATGTGACCTCAACACCCCTCCCCCCCCCAAAAAGACAAGAAACCCAAGCCTGTGAAACTCAGTACTTTCTAACAAGTAAATTGAGTCTTAAAAAAAATCACTGCATTGGCCCTGTGTGCCTCATGCTTCATGTGTGGTCCACCATCTTTCTGCCAGAAAAGTGAGAACCTTGGTTCACTGTCAGTTATTGAAGTAATGATTTTGATTGGAGTTAAAAAGTTTTTCATTGTTTTTTTCTTGTGTTGTTATCATTATGTAAATTGTTCTGCTTTTGCTTACTTTCTTCAAATTCAGTTCAGTAAATTTCTCTGAATTCTTTGTATTTTTTTAAAGGTTTGTTAATATGGTGATATACTATGGATTTCTTCACTTATTCTTGAATCTGTGGCCACCTATTTTCCTTCTTGTTCTTTGTTATGATAAAAATGGCTGCTATAAATATTTTATCCCTCTGTCTTTAATCTCTTTGAGGTATTGATTGTTGTTGTTCGTTTATTTCAGTCATTTTAGACTCTTTCTGACCTCATATGGGATTTTCTTGGCAAAGATATTACAGTGGTTTGCCATCTCCTTCTCTAGCTCATTTTATACATGAGACACTGAGGCAAACAGGATGAAGTGATTTGCCCAGGGTTGCACAGCTGGTAGGTGTCTGAGGCCATATTTGAACTCAGGTCTTCCTGACTCCAGGCCCAGTGCTCTATCCTCTGTGCCACCTAAGTATGTACTGGTTCAAATGACATGTATGGTTTGGTGACTTCTTAATAGAATACCAGATTGTATACCAGAATGGTTGAACTGCTTCACAGTACGGAACCATAGTATCTTCCTTTTCAACCTTGACATTTTTATCTTATGTCATCTTTGCCAGTTTGATAGATGAGGTTAAAGCGTCAGCTGTTTTAATGTACATTTCTTTTAATGATTCAGTCCCTTTGTATGTCCATTGGTAACATGTTTATTTGTATCAGTTCCCTATGCATCTTTGTTAGGACATCTTTATAGAAACTATTTGTTATAAGGATTTTTTCCCTAATTTGCTGCTTCTTTTTTGAATTATTTTTCATAGGAACATCTGCTCAGCAGTTGGATGCAACATTCAGTACCAATGCTTCCCTGGAGATATTTGAATTAGACCTGTCTGATCCATCATTGGATATGAAATCTTGTGCTACTTTCTCTTCTTCCCATAGGTATGGAGCTCAGTCTACACTTAACACTGTTTGCAAATATCGTACATTGCTGTTTGTGGTTGGTGCCCATTCTGTCCAGAATTATAAAACAATTGCATGAAATGTCATCAGTGATGTGGGGCACTTCATAAAATAGGAGAAAATGGTTGGAAATCCCTTGAGTTTGACTTGGTGCGATAATGCTTCAGTTTTTTCATAATAATAGTTTAAAGAAAAGTTTTCCACACTGTTAACTGTTTAAGATGCTCTTTTCTCCTGGACAAGTCTTAGTTACTGTCAGTTGTTGCAGGCAATGCTGTAAGTTGAAAGCAGGTGCCTACCTGCATTGGTAGGGGGAGTGTCCTCTTAGGGACTTTTCCTATGTCCGTGGAATCACAGGTCCAAAACAAAAATCTTTTTTTTTCCTATCATTTGGAGAATATGAGAAAGTAGGTCCAGTGAGACAACAAGAATTTTATTGCAGGATTCTGGTTGCTCTTGCAAAACCACTAATGACTTAAGTGATGGACGGTGATCTTAAAATACTCAATTTCTGCAAATTATACACAGTCGTTTTAGAATCATAGCTACCTCAGATTTGAGTGCTGGATTGGGACCTTTGGCATCATCTAGTCCAACCCCCTAATTTTGCAGATGAAAGAGATGAAAAGATTTCCTTGTGGCTTATACAGCTAGTTATGGTCCAGTTGTTAAAGTATTTCAGTTGCGGATCTCTGCCCATTTAATTTCGATAAAAGAATTGGTATGAAAGAGTGATTCTCCCTCCTCTGTGCCCAGGAGGGTTGAGACCTCTTTCTACTTCAAGAACCCACAATTCTGTGGCTTGTTTTCTTTTTCCAATTGAATGTAAGCTCCTGAAGGTCAGGGACTGTTTTCATTTTGTCTTCATTTTGTATCCCTAATGTCTAGCCCAGTGCCTGGCATGGACTTGTGTTAGGTGCTTAATAAATGCTTGTTGGGCTAAATTAACATGAGAAACAGGTAGGTGATTTTTAGTTCCCATCCAGATAAAATGTGTCTGTTGGTGGTGATGGCATCACCTCTTCCTTTTCTCTTTTTATAATTACCCATTGTAGAGACTCTTCAGTGCACTCTAATTGTTCTCCTTGTTCCACTTCATGTTTTCCTGTGTCACTTCATGCAAGTTTTCTCAGCTTTTCCTGAAACTATCCCCTACGTCATCCCCAGAACAAGGGTCTTCCCTCTCCTTCACATACCATGACTTTCTCAGCCGTTCCCCAATTGATGGACATCCCTTCAGTTCCAATTTTTGTTACAACAAAAAGAACTGCTATCAATATTTTTACACATATTGGTCCTTTTCTTTTTTCTTTGATCTCTTTGAGGTATAGGCCTAGTAGTGGTATCACAGAGTTACAGGGTGTACATTTGAATAACTTTTGGAGCCATGGTTCTGTCTTGCTTTCCAGAATGACTAGACCAGTTCACAGTTCCACGAACAGTACATTAATGTACCTGTTTTCCCACAGCCTCTCCAGCATTTATCATTTTCTTTTTTGTCAACTTTGCCAATCTGATGGTTGTGTTGTGGCACCTCAGAATTGTTTTAATTTGTTTTCCTAGAATTATTGGTGATTTTGAGCATTTTTTCATGTGACTTTTGGTAGCTTGGCTTTCTTCCTCATTTGAGTCATTTACTTTTAGTAACTCTAATTTTCCCAACCAAATCTATTCTGGACCCTGGGTTTTAAAAGCTATGCCAGAAGAATGTCACCCTTAGCAATTCCTACTAAACTTGAAAGGTGTTGAGTAGGGAACGATATTGGTAATATATTTTGTGTCTTTTTTCTGAGTTTAGAGAGACTCATTCCCAGTTCAGCCATAAATCCTCTGAAAGACCACCTGCTAAGTTAGAGACAGGTTGCAGTCTGCTTCAGTGTAGGGACTGTTATATATATCCTAATAGTGTCCATTTGTTTTTCAGATGCCTTGGGCTAATTTTCTAATTTGTTTCTGCAGAAGATATTTGTGTTCTTTCTTTATGGTTGAATACACAGGAATGCTATTTCTCTCTGATGTTTAAATTAGATTCTGAAAGTTGAAATGCTTTTCACAGAATAGGGTGTAGAGAGGCAGGTGGGGCATGATTGCAGCCCTTGAATTTTATTTGGCACCGTGGATGAGTTCTGCTTCTTTTGTCTTTCAGGTACCACAAATTGATTTGGGGACCTCATAAGATGGATTCCAAAGGAAATCTTTCTGGAGTCTTAATTGCAGGGGGTGAAAATGGAAATATCATTTTGTATGATCCTTCCAGAATTATTGCTGGAGACAGTGATGTTGTGATTGCCCAGAATGACAAACATACAGGGCCCGTGAGAGCCTTGGATGTGAACATCTTCCAGGTTAGATTTGGAGAATTGATTAAAACAGATCCTTGGGCACGTGTTGCTGTGCTTTGAAGCAGGTAGACACTGGGGGATATCAGTAATCAGTCTTGAAATTAAAAGTTAAAACCCCAAATAATTAAATGGCATGTATTACTGAAAAATGGTCAGGGGTGGGGGCCTAGGCTTCTCTCACAAAACGTAGAACTTCCCATATGTGGAAAACACGACTGTTTCTTTTACAACTTTGTGATGCTTTTTCACGAAAAGGACACACAACTTCATCATTGCACGTGGAGAATTTTTGCTTTATAATTTTTTTTAACCTACATAGAATGAATTCTGTTATCTAGCATGGTCAGTGATTACAGATGCTATGTATCAAATTTACCTACCAAACTAATTTTTTAAAGTCTCAATTAAAAAATACAAAGGAGATAAGTGGACAGTATGTTGCCATAAGTCATTGGTTTTCAGTCCTGAGTTGAAATTCGAGTTAGGATTTTACGGAAGATTTATAAATGAGTCTCCTAGAATCTTCCAGAAGGGCTCAAGGAGGGAGCCGAGCATACCTGGCCAGGATGGTGACAGGGGAAGTCTGGCTCCCAGTGTCAGGCTTCCAGGCTGGGCGAGCCAGACCTCTTCTTCTCCAGCTCCCTTATTATGCTAAGCCCTAGGGTGGAGAATCCCTGATACTCCCACTTGTGACTCAGAACTTTAGACTGAGCCCAGGATTTCCTCATCGTCAAGGCAGCTAGAGCTTGGGAGAGCCAGGATTTCCCAGGTTCCCTGCCAGAAGCCTAGCTAGTACGTCCAGCATTCATTGTAGTGATCCCATCCCTCAGGGCGTCCTGGCTTTTGGCTGGCTTGTGGTGCAGGTACCGCTTGCCTTTGCTGAGGTTTCTTCAGGGAGCTGGGTCTGGCCCAGTCACAGGGGCCTCTTGGCTTCTTTCCAGGGTGGCACAATCCTGGTTCCCCTGGAGTTTATTTAGTAGGAGGGCAGTTGCAGTCTTCCTAGGCCTGAGGATCTAGTGGTCACTATTGGGAATGCAGTAGTGAAGTAAGGTTTTGGGGAGCCCAGTGGACTCCCATGTTCCATGGGCTATTCCATGGATGAATTATTCCCATTTTTTGACCACAGACTAGAAGAGGGGTGTTGTGATCCTGGCAGTTCCCTAGGCTCGAGTGTTTCCTTTGGAAGGCCAGGAATAGCAGTGCCCACCTGGGAGAACACAGTTGGTTCTGTTCTGGGGTGGGGGCAGAGGAGAGCAGAGCTGATGATGGTTCCCTCGTTAGGACTCGTGTAACGTGTCACAGTGGGGTAGGCTGGGCGTTGGGCCTCCAGTAGTCAGGTCAGAAGTGGGAGAGATGACTGGGTAGGTCCTTATGGGGTCTTAGGTCCCCTTATTCAGTCACCCAACAGTAACAGCTAGTGATGATAGTTAGCAGGCTAGGAACAAACTGCTAATATATGTTGAGTCATTTGATCCCCACGCTGACCACAGGAGATAGGTGCTGTTATTATCCTTATTTTACAGAAGAGGAAACTGAGGCAAGTGGAGATTAAGTGACTTGCCCAGGGTCGTAGAGCTATTAAGTGAGGTAGGATTCAAACTCATGTCTCAAGTTCCAGGTCTCAGACTCTATCAAATGCATTACATAGATGCCTGTAACTTATTAAATATTTATTAAATGCTTGCTTACTACTCAGGCCTCTGAAACTATTGGCTCTGTGATAATGGAGAAATCATTTAATCCCTCAGTGCCTTGGACAGTTCTCTAAAAAACAAACAAAAGATAAATTTCAGAGATAGAGGAAATTTCTTCCTCTGGGAGTTCTGTACCAAAACAGCCTTAGGTCCAGTTCCTTTTCCTTTCCTGTGTGCTGGGATCTGGGGCTACAAAGACAAGCAAAGTAGACCTGCCTTCAGGAAACTTACATTCTGTTGGGGAAGATGGCATCTACATAGAGAAGTGTAGACAAAACAAATGCAGGCTAGCTTTGGGTGTGGTGGATGGGGGGAAGGCATTAGCTGTCAGCACCTCATAGTTGGAAGGGACCTGTGGGGAGTGGGGCTCATGCTTCAGATGAAGAAACTTACGGGGGAGGTTGAGTGACTTGTCTGAGGTCACAGAGATGGTGATGTGAGTCAGTCTTTGGACCCAGATCTTCTCCCTCCAGACTCTGTGTTCTTCCCACCATACCAGAAGCCGCCATTTCTTAATGAAGGGCCTTAAGTAGAAAGGTAGTGCATGCATTTAGGGTTGGTTGGTTTGTTTTTTGTAAATAGTATTTTATTTTTTCCAATTACATGTAAACGTAGTTTTCAACATTCATTTTTTATAAGTTACAAGTTTTTCTGCCTCCCCCTCCCCAAGATGGCAAGTAATCTGATATAGGTTACACATGTTGCTTTTAGTTTTTAAGGAAAATAGGGATTTTAAGAGGTAGAGATAAGAAGAAAGTACATTCGAGGCAAGGGGGACAGCTTGTACCAAAGCATGGAGGCAGAGAGAGAGCGTCGTGTGTGAAGAGCAGCGGGGAGCCCTGTTGGGCTGGATCGTGGAGTCTCAAGGACAGTCCTATCTGGGACCAGACCAGCGAGGAGCGTGTGCTGCATGAGAAGACCACACTGCCGGGGCGAGGGGCTTCTAGTGCAGAACAGAGGAGCGCCCTGGTGATCTTCAGCAGGGGCTCCGTGGGCACTCCTTGTAGGTGTGGGCTGGGCTTGATTGCTCCTAGAGCCCCTCGCAGCTGGGATGAGCCTGTCTCGCGCCTTACTTGTCTGTCTGAGTTTGTGCGGGCAGCAGAGCCTCAGTCAGGGCTGGATCAGATGTGGGGGCGATCTGAGAAGAAGGTGCAGGAATCCTTTCATTGCTTCCTGCTGTTGGCATACATGGACTGGCCCTGTCTGATGTTGGAACTTCCTTTACGAGTTTTTAAGGAAAACACAAATATCCAGGAGTGGGAAGAAGGCAGTGCAGTTCTATAGTTTTGCATAAGGTTTTAACAAAGATACTAGTCGCTGCAATGAAATTACAAGCTCCCGTTGTAACTTGGCACGTGAATTTGTCAGTCCATGCTGACTGTTCATAGGATTGGAGAAGTGTATGTTAATAGCCTTAGGTTTGTAGAGCATAGGTAACACTTTGCTATAATTACATTTTCTGTTGAAGAATTTTTTTCCCCACAAGACCAAGTCACTACAAAACTCTTTGTTTTGAAAATGCCTCTTTTTGAAGTTTAGAAGTATTCCTTTTTAAGTAATTGCTTTAGTTATTGAAACAGACAACCCAACTGCTAAGCCTCTAGGGTTGTGGTTATCTGTCTAGGACCTGAGACATTGAGTAGCTGTGTGGCCCTGGGCAAGTCACTTCCTCAGCTGTAAAATGGGAATAATGATAGCACTTCTCAGGTGTGTTGAGAGTCAGATGATACAATAATATTTGTTAAACGCTCAGCACAGTGCCTGGCACGCATTGCGTGTGCCCTCCACCTTGTTGCTGTAGTTGCATTTGCACCCGGCAGTTAGTTTCTCTGTCAGCGGCTGGCATCCACGAAGCACCCTGCACCACAGCCTTCCTTTCTTTTTCCTAGTTCTTTGTTGCAGGCTCAGAATTGTATCTCAGGGCTTGGATAGTCAGGGAAGGAGGAGGTGACAGTGGTTCTCATGTTATCCTGAATGCCCCATTTTCTTTCAGGGCACATTCTTATGCTGCCATGAAGTGGCCGTCCTGTAACACAGGCAGCAAGGATGAACTGAGGAGAGTACAGGGAATTTTCAAGCCTGGTGGTAGTTGTATTCCACACCAGCCACCTCCTGTAGCTATTCATGTTTCATCTCATTAAAGAATGACCTGTCAGGCCAACTGTACTTTTTAAGATGGTCAACTGGGGGTGTCGGAGGTGCAAAATTATAGGAGGGAATTGGGCATGGTGGGGTTTGATTTTAAGGAATTTTCCCACAAAGTCTTTTTAAAAATCGCAAAAAAGTGCCTGTTGGCATAAAGTGTCGGTGCTCCCGTAGACATAGCTCCAGAATAGCAGACTCCATTTCTCCACAGTTAATTTGTGAATTTGATGGTTTAATGAAGAAAGTTTTACAAGATGGTTCTGAAACATTATTCCATTTGATTGATTGTATGTTCTTTTCCTAACAAATGACATGATGGGGAAAGTAGGAACAAAAACTGCTAGGTGGCTGGGGAGGAGGGTCATTTCTCATGACTTGTTTTGACAGCTGTGTTTGTTGTTTTAAATTGCAGACTAATCTGGTAGCCTCTGGGGCTAATGAGTCTGAAATCTACATTTGGGATTTAAATAATTTTGCAACTCCCATGACACCTGGAGCCAAGACACAGGTATTAATTATTACATTGATTTCTGTTAAGTGATTGTGACGTCAGCTTACCCAGAATGGTTTCTGAGGCCGCAGAGGTGGGACAGATTTAAATTTACTCCAGAGGTAATGCAGATTTGTGTGAAATTTTGACTTGCTATTGTTGACTTTGTCCCCAGTGGAACAGATGTTTATAGATTTACTTAGGCTTGCTTTTAACTGTGAAAGCAGCCAATACAGTGGACGGGATGCTGGGTTTGGGATGAGCACCGGTTCAGATTCCTTTCTGCCGCCGTGTGAATTTGGGAAAGTCATGTAACCTGTTGGGCCCCCAGGTTCCTCATCTGTGACAAGGAGGGTGGAGTAGGTGACCTCCCAAAGACTTTTACAAAACTCCGTGGCCTGATCTTCACCTTGTTTGGAGTGACAGTTGCTTGTTTTGGTCCTTATAGCCCCCAGAAGACATCAGCTGTATTGCCTGGAACAGACAGGTTCAGCACATCCTCGCTTCTGCCAGTCCCAGTGGCCGCACTACCGTTTGGGACCTTAGGAAAAATGAACCCATAATCAAAGTCAGCGATCATAGTAATAGGGTGAGTTTGTGTTTTATTTGTGAAGAACGTGTCAGATTTCTTAAAATCTGTGGTATTTGAAGTGTGAGAAGCAGTGAGGTATAATGGTTAGAGAGCTGTCCTTCAACCAGAGACACCTGGAGCCCCACCTGTGACGTGTGTGGCTTCGAGACATCGGACCGGTCCCTTGGCCTCGCGGAGCTCTGGGTAACTCTTAAGAGTCTACGTTGCAGAGGAGGTGCTGACTGACATTGGTAGAGGGATTGTCTTCATCTGGGAGGTTCCAGGGGCAGTCTGGGCTGAGTTCAGTCCCTGTCCCTCACCTGTTGAAGGGCTGGGGGGTTATCTCTTGCTTTATGAAATGACCTTGTTCCAGAAGCAGATTTGGCCACACTGCCAAATCCTGCTTTTCCATTAACTTCTGTCTTTGAGGTGGAGAGAGTGCTGGCCTTGGAGTCAGAAAGCCCAGGCTCAGAGCCCAGTTCACGAGTTTGCTCTGTGATCCTTGGCAGGCTAAATAATCCCTCTGAACCTCAGTCTTCTCATGTGTCGATGGGGACAGTGATGCCTGTGGAACCTCGTGTCTCAAGGATATATGATGAGATTCAGCATGTATGGAAAGTGCTTTTTTGGCAAACCCTGATGGTGTAATCCCAGTGTCACTTACTCTTCTGTTAGAGTAGTAAAGATCTTCCTGTTGGAAAAAACCTCCCAGGAAATGGAATTGAAAGGTTTTTTGTGAGAAAGAACTTTAACAGGGGCCCAGTCAGGTCTGTGGCACTCTTGTTACTAGGGGATGCTCTTGCCTCACACGTTTAACCCCCAAATCTTTCCATCCCTCCTTTTGCCCCCAGTAGAGAATTCTGTCCTCCCTGGGTGGCTCCAAAACTTAAGTTCCGTTCTTGTGGGGGAGAGGGGAGGGGCAGGGGGATGGTTATAGTATAGAATAGATCTGAATAACAATATAGCACCTAGCCATCAGGGACTGCTGCTTAGCATGTGATATTCCCCAGTCAGAAAATCCTTCCAAGTTTGAGGCTTGGGAGTGTGCATATAAAATGCATATGAATCAAGGCCCCACTTTGCCAAGTTAGAAACCTGGAAGTGATGTGCATTGAGTTTAGTTAAGATAGATATCTCCATGACATCATTGTTTTTAAAACTATATATTTCTTTAGTTTGAACCAAGAGCTGTAGTATAAAATGCTCAGGAAATCAAGTATACAGTAGACATTTCAACATCTTCTAGAACGATGAATATTTCTTTATTTCAGGCATCTGTTGTTTGGTCAGGTGATGAAGCTCACAGCCCCTCTGTAACTTGGTAGATAATGTTCAAGGGTTGTTGTGGCCCAAACTATTAATCACCCTGTGGCCAACTAGCCAGGCTGGGCCTTTGATGACAGATGCTTCATCGTTGGGCCCATGTCTGAAACCTCCCAGAGCCCGGGTGTCCCTTGCAAGTCCTTTGGGAGCCCAGCCTCACCTCCATACCGTGATGAAGCTTCTTATGGAGAACATGTAGTCAGATAGACAATTTTAGATAAACTGTTCTCAAGGACAGTCAGTTAATAACCAAAAGGATTTATGTGTTGTTCACTTTTACAAAAGTGTGAAAAAATTTCTGAAGGTGCTATGATATTTGGAAATTTGTTGGTGGTGATTCCTTTTTTGAGTTATAAGCAAGCGTGGTGTAGTGGATAAAGAGTTGGCCTCGAAGCCAAGAAGTTCTGAGCAAGTCCCTTAAACTCTAGGTGTTCTCAGTAGTTCTCTTAAGACTGTGTTTTTTTTTTAAATGAAAAAAATTTGTTTTTTCAGTACTTAAACACCAAATGAGCATTTCCAGACACTTAGAACAGAAAAAGGGGCTGTACCTGAAACTGGGAATCTCTCCTAGATACAGTTTGCTTTTCTTTTAAAGTATATAGTAAGGTCAGCATATAACTTTCTTTCTTTTTTTCTTTTGATTGAAGAATTTTTTTTTTAATTAATTCATTTATTTTTAGTTTTCAACATTTGCTTTTATAAGATTTTGAGTTCTAAATTTTTGCCCCCTCCCTCCATTCCCCCTCCCCAAGATGGCATGCAATCTGATATAGCCTATACGTGTATGATCCCATTAAGCGTATTTCCACATTTGTCATGTTGTGAAAGAAGAATCAGAACAAAAGGGAAAACCCACAACATATAACTTTCAAATCTGTCTTGCTTATTAGTGATGCCTTTGAGTTGTCCTTCTCTTACATTCTGTGTATTTTTTACAAACGTCTCAGACTCTAAGTTGCAGAGGCAGTGCTAATCTGCATAAGCAGAGGGTAAGGAAGCATGAAATCATGGGTCCAGTTCTTGTCCTTGTGATGAAGCAGGAAAATTCATTTTGGCCAAAAATTCTGGTCTGGAACAGGTTACCAGGTATCACATAGATTCAGTGAGAGCATCAGAAATTAATCTTTCTGACTTTTAATAAAAACTTTAATAACTGAAAAAAAGAAAGTAGTTCTTTTGTGTACAAATTGGTCCTGAACTAATAGATTAATTTTGATTAATGTGTGCTAATGAAGAAATATCCTTACTTCCAAGCTGATTTTTCATGGGTTATTGTCCATTCTGTATACATATGTACAGATGCACTGTTCGGGATTGGCTTGGCATCCTGATGTTGCCACCCAAATGGTTCTTGCCTCCGAAGATGACAGATTACCTGTGATTCAGATGTGGGATCTTCGGTTTGCTTCTTCTCCACTGCGTGTTTTGGAAAACCATGCAAGGTAGGGGTGTGTGTGTGTACGTACGTACATACGTACACACTGAACTTAGGACCTCTTACAGAGTTGTTTTTTGAGTACTTGTTTTTCTCAAGTGAAAATTGTTTTTCCTTTAATTCCCTACACTGAAATATAGTTTGTTACAACAAATAAAACTCCATTTCACAGATAGATGAGTTTAGCCACTTACAGTTTAGCCACAAGTTTGAGAAGGCCTTCTTGCACCGTAAAGGGCTTGGCCAGTAATTCTGGATCTTACACGGAACCTCTGCTTTCCAAATTTTGCAGAGAAGCTCGAGTTTGAGGTAACTTTTTTAGTCATTATATTAACAGTGTATAAATGTTCAGTTCTTGCTTTTTTGATCCAACTTGTATTTTTATTGTATCAGCCTTGGTTGGAAAACATAGACTAGAAATTTTTTGCTGCTTCCTTTTTATGCACCTTCCTCTCTAGTTTCTGACTGTCGATCCCACACCCTCTTTCCAGTTCCCCAGACTTACAGTTCTTGTCTCTTCACTCTCCCTTCATCCCACACACCCGGTTATGGCCAGATCCTGTCATGCCTCCCTCCGTGCTATCTCTTCCATCCTCTTCTCCCTCCTCATGTGGTCATGACTGGACTAATTACCTAGCTTTCTGATCTGATTTCCTGCCTCACGTCTCTCCTGGCTGCACATTTCATAGAGTTGCCAAAGTGACTTTCCTGAAGTGCACGGCTCACCACATCCCTCCTCTCTTCAGTAAACTCCAGTGTCTGTCTCTTAGCTCTAAGCTTTCTTGTTTAGATTTTAAAACATTTGATAATCTGGTTCCAGCCTTGCTTCATAACCTCATCATCATTATTACCTTCCCGTACTCTCTTGTGGTCCAGCCACAGTGGCCCTCGGGCTCTTCTTCAAACAGGGCACTGTTTCCTGACGTTGGCATCATCCTCCTCCTCCGAATGCTCCGCCACCTCATCTTTGCCTCTTAAAATCCCGTGTATCCTTCAACACCGCTCGGGCAGGCCCTGAACCAGGCCTGTGCAACCTGCGGCCGCCGTGTGCCAAAGGATGTGTTCTCTCTGGGCCTGCTGCGAGCGGCCAGAGGGCCGTAGGTTGTGCAGGCCTGACCTAAGCCAGGCCTTTCCTGGCGCCCTCCTCTTAGAACTCTTCCTCCTCCTGATTGACCTTGTATCTAATTATTCTGTTCCTGTCTCCCCTGACCCAAAGCATGCGAGCCTCATTTTTGTCTTTGTTTCACCACTGTGGGCCCAGGCCTGGTGTGTTGATTGGCATGGGGCTTTTCATTTTGTTCTTTGTGTTGCTTTGACTTCTTTGCCTTAATCTTTTGTCTTTTGCTTTTCAATTTTGGTTCAGGGTATGCAGGATTTTCAGAATTCCATTTCTCGTGTTTGTTTTGTTGTTGCCCTTGACAGGGAATGAAGTGTTCATGTTTTCTGTTGTCCCTCCTGGCTAGACATGGATGTAATCTTCCAAAGTCCGAGCTAGTTTTCTCAGACTCGTGCTCTGGTCCTTTTTGACAGCCATACCTAGGAGTATTCCTGGGTGTCTTCAACTTTCCCCTTGGAGGCCTTTCTGCGGTAATACTTGGAGCACATGCTGCCCCATCCAGCTCCTGGATATTTGTATTCTCAGATGTTTTGGGAGAGCATGTTTGTTCATGATGGCTGCGGCTGAAAGGAGTTAGGCGATTGGATTTGTGCCATCAAACCCCAAAAGGGCTTTGAAAATATATTCTTTATGTGTGTGTTTCCTTTTCAGAATCATTCAGAGCACTGCCATTTTCCCATTTGAGTGTCAGTCAGTCATTCAGTAAGCATTTATTAAGTGCTTACCGTGTGCCAGCCACTCTCCTAAGCTCTGGGAATACAAATCAAATCATAAAGAAAGACAGTGTCTGTCCTCAAGGAGCCTGGCTTCTAATGGGGGACGACAGCATGTAAAAAGCAACTGAAAATGGGCTGGAGAAGGAAAAGGTCAGGGCTCTCAGGGTGACATCTGCAGCCCGGGCCTCCTCCTTAAATGGAAGTTCTGGGAGAAAACAGCCAGTCAGAAGAGGAGGCTTGAGAGGAGGAGATTACTTCTATTGCTTTTATTAAGTGCAGATTTCTAGTATTTTCAGGTTCTTTTTTTTTTTTTTTTTTTCTTTTTTGGTGAGGCAGTTGGGGTTAAGTGACTTGCCCAGGGTCACACAGCTAGTATCAAGTGTCTGAGGCTGGATTTGAACTCAGGTTCTCCTGACTCCAAGGCTGGAGCTTTATCCACTGTGCCACCTAGCTGCCCCTATTTTCAGGTTCTTAAGATTTCCATTTACGCCTTTTTTTCCACTCCTGTTTTATCTAATCTTGAGTAGGAAGTTGTTGATTATAATCGATCTGTAGCATGTTCTTTAGCTTGTAGTTTGGGTTATCATTGACAGAAAGCAGTATGACGTTATTGCCTAGAAGTGTTAAGATCTCTTTCCAAATTTTATGATGTTATACTGGTGCATATATAAAAACATCCCTGTGTCTTCTGTCCATTTTATGTGACTCACGGTTTGCCATCTGCACGAAAGCATTTCCAGCAGGCCCAGGTACTGGGATTTGTGTTTTATTTTGATGTACCATGCCATCATGTGGAATCAGAACATAAGAAGTGCGCCTTGATTTGCTGATCTCCACGTTAAAAGCTCATCATTGTTGAAGTTTCACATGTGGCCAGTCTATAACTTTGTGAGGCCCCATCTATTTCTTTCTTTTTTATTTGTTTGTTTTTTTGTTTTGGCTAGGCAGTGGGGTTTAAGTGACTTGCCCAGGGTCACACAGCTAGTAAGTGTTGTGTGTCTGAGGCTGGATTTGAACTCAGGTCCTCCCGACTCCAGGGCCAGTGCTCTATCCACTGCGCCACCCAGCTGCCCCTATCTATTTCTTAGATACCCGGGGACACTTGTGTCATATTGGCCCGGGTTCTAACCCAGTCTGTCTTACTGTGGGAGCCTGAGTGATTGCTCTTGAGGATTCTTGCCAAGTTTTCCCAGTCTCCAGGGCTCAAAGAGTCTGTGCTATAAATCATTTTTGCACGACATTCTCTTACTTTAAAAAGAAATTGTATTTTATTTTTTCAGTTAATCAAGTCTGCCTCCTTTCTCTTACTTCTGCTCACCTCCATGCAATTGAAAAAAGAAAGAAAAACAAGAGACTTGCAAAAAATAAAGATAATAAAGAAAAAAAACCTGCATTGAACATGTCCAAAAAATATATATATCTCAAGCCACACTGTGATTCCATTACCTTGCTGTCAGGACGTGGATAGCATGTTTTATCTTGATTCCTCTGGAATCATGTTTGGTCATTGTGTTGAGTAGAGTTCTTAAGCCTTATCAAAGTTGTCTGTCTTTCCGTTATTATTGTCATTATATAAATTATCCTCCTGGTTTTATTCACTATACAGTAGTTCATGTAAAACTTCCCAGGTTTCTCTGTAACCGTTCCCTTCATTTCTTACAGCACAAGCATATTCCATCACATTCATATCGTATTATAACGTGTTCATTCAGTTCCTAATAGATGAGCGTCGCCTCAGTTTCCAGTTCTTTGCCCCCATAAAAAGAGCTGCTATAATTATTTATGTACATGTGGTCCTTTTCCTCTTTGTTACACCTCTTTGAGACAGGCCTACTAGTGCTATCATGGGGTCAGAGGGTGTGCAGTTTAGTAACTTTTGGGGGGTATGGTTCTGTCTTGCCTTGAAGAATGACTGGACTAGTTCACAGCTTCACTAACGTGCATTAATGTCTTTCCCCCCCCCCAATAACCTCTCCGGTTTGTCATTTTCCTTTTTTGTCAACGTTGTCAATCTAGGTGTGAGGTGAAAACTCAGAGTTGTATTAATGTGTATGTCTGCAATCATTGGTGATTTGGAACGTTTTTTCATATGACTTTTGATAGCTTAGATTTCTTTCTCTGAAAACTTTCTATTCATATCCTTTGAGCGTTTATCAATTGGGGAATGGCTGTCATTGTTATACATTTGAATCATTTCTTTATATATCATAGAAATGAGACCTTTATTATAAAACTTGGTGCAAAGATTTTTTGGGGGGAGGGCCAATATCTTTTTAATTTTATATAATCAGAGTTACCTGGTTTATTTTCTGTATTTGCCTCTTGTTTGGTTTAGAATACATCTCCTAGAAGAGGACAGTTGAGAGTTGAAGTGCCTCCCCAGGGCTCAAGCTGGAGAAGAAAGGAGAAGGCCAAGGGTGCCTGGGAAAGGACTGAGGGATTTGAGGTCAGGGCTTGGGGTAACAAGGCAGAGGAAGAGGAGGAATGACAACACACTGTGATCAGAGAGCAGAATTTCAGAGCTCAGGAACATGGCAGTGGTGCTTCTGTGTAATGGCAGGATCCAGGGCGTGACCATCTCTGTGTAGCTGAGGTTGGCTGGAGGAGACGTCTTGGGAAATCCTGTTATTGGGTTCTGTTATGAATATGGAAACTCCCACTTTGTTTGGTGTTTGTTAAGTTCAGAAAACAAAATAAATTTTAAAAATTACACCTCCTTACTCCATAACCAACTATGATTTATGCATTTTCTAATTTTTTTTATTATATGATTTTTAATATCAACCTCACTTATCTATTTAAACTTTATTATAGAATATGGTATAAGTTGCTGGTCTGAGCCTAATTCATGCCAGACTTTTCCAGCTTTCCCAGAAGTTTTCTTTAACCCCTAGTATTTCTTTCCTAAGTAATTTATGTTGACCAATTTTTGTTGAATGCTGGGTAATTGAGTTCCATTATTTTGGATTCTCTGTGGCCTAATCTCTTCCATTGATCTACCTCTTTATTTCCTAACCAATGCCAAATGGTTTTGATGACTACTGTTTTCTACTATAGTTTGAGGTCAGGAATTTCCATTCCCACTTTTTTTGTGCCTTTTTTTCATCATTTCCCTTGATATTCCAGATCTTTTATTTTTCCAAATGAATTGTCATTATTTTACCAAGTTCTGTAAAATATCCCTTTGATGACTTGATGGTGGCATAGCATTTTAGTTGTAAATAAACTTTGTTAGTACTGCCCTTTATAGTTTAAACATGGCTCAGCCGTGAGCACGGTACTCGTCCTCCAGCTGTTTAAGTTCTTTGTTTCTTTAGGGAGCACTTAGGAATTGGCACCTGCTTTTGATTACTTCTGACTTTTCTTATCTACTCTGTCCCAGTTTTCTGTTTTTTCACTGGTAGGTAGCTTTTCTTTAGGAGTTTGTTGGTAAAGAAAGACGAGATATAGGATAATCACAGATGAGGCTAGAAAGGGGCTGAAGACAGTAGCGTGGTTGAAAGCGCACTGGCCTTTGAAGGGAGTGCCTGTATTCAAATCCTGCCTCCATTGTTTACCACCTGCTGGGTCTTGGTCATGTCACTGACCCTTCCTATGGCTCAGCTTGTTATCTGCAAAGTGAGGGATGGTTTCTGAGTCCCTTCTAGCTGTAAGCTGTGAGCCCAAAGAGCTAATAGACAGGGGAGGTTGAAGATGAATGAGATGGGGGAGGAAGAATTTTAGTGGCATGCTCCCAGAGGATACCCGAAGAAATGGGATCCTGGGAACAAGTACAGGGGGCGGCCCTGGGCAGAACTGTCTTTTGTCAGAGATTAGAGCAGTTAAATAGAGAAAGTGGAATGATGGTAAGGGGTTTTGAGGTGTCACTAGAAGGAAGAAAAAAGCCGTAAACTCTTCATTATTTTGCACAGATAAGACTTAGGAAGATAGTTGATTTTTTTCTCTGAAACACTTGGTCTAATTACACTTAAAATTTTCTTTCCTCTCTCACCTTCCATCTCTCTGCAGAGGAATTTTGGCCATTGCCTGGAGCATGGCAGATCCTGAGTTATTGCTGAGCTGTGGAAAAGATGCCAAAATTCTGTGCTGCAACCCCAACACAGGAGAGGTATGGTGGGGAATAGTGTTTTTAAACTTGCTGTCTCCAAGGTGGTGCTGTTTTGTTCCTCTCTAAAGGAGATACTGATTATTTTGTGTATTACATTGAAGGCTAAGTGAAAGTAATGTAGAGATGTGGGTGAATTTTTATACTCAAGAAAAATTTTATCATGAATGTCATCTGGGCACTATTGTTTCACTTAGAAGTTAAAACAATATGTAGAACCACATTACTAATAAAATAAATACTCCTTTTACATGAAGGCAGTGAGACCAGTTTCTATGTTAGATGTATGGAAATATCACATTCTTTATATCACGTGCATTAGGTACCCAGTGTCACCTTGTTCAGAGCCAGTTTTAATTTTTTTAATTTTTTTTAATTTTTAGGCAGTTGGGGTTAAGTGACTTGCCCAGGGTCACACAGCTAGTAAGTGTCAAGTGTTTGGTCTGAGGCCAGATTTGAGCTCAGGTCCGTCTGACTTCAGGGCCGGTGCTCTATCCACTGCGCCACCTAGCTGCCCCCTCAAAGCCAATTTTTAAAATTTATTTTGAAGAGCTTATCACTTTGTAAGTTATTTACAAATTGTGTTATCCACTTAATTTTTGAAATAAGTTAATTGGAAAAAAAAAAAAAGCCTAGCCATACCTTCCTTGCTTTAAAAAGACATACTTAGAGCAAAGATCTATCCATCCTTGACTGGTGTGCATCAGTTATACATGTGGGGTGGTTCAGTTGAGAAGTGCATGCTAAGTGCAGCTGTTAGTGATGTGGCCTGCTGTGCTGGATGTAACAAGGAATCCACGTCTCCTTCTGGGGCCTGAGGAAGGATGGATGGTTGAGAGGCAGATGGGATTCGTCAGATATAAAAGATGACTTTAAGTTCCTTGAAATTCTCAGATTTTAAATTTCATGTAAATACAATATATTTTCATTTTTTACTTGTCTATGGTAAAAGGCTAAGATTACTTTCAAGATGACTGATATAAAGTAATAATAGCTAGCATTTACATAACACTTTAAGATTTGCAAAATGCTTTACATGTTATTTCATTTTATCCTCCAAACAACTCTTTGAAGTAGGTGCCATTATTTGTTCCATTCTACAGTTGGTGAAATTGAGGCCCAGAGTGATTTGTATAGGTCACACAGATAGTAAATGAGGCAGGATTTGAACTCAGGTCTTGCTCATTCCATGTCCTGTGCTCTACTACTCTACCCAGCCTTATTATTGCTGTTATTAGTGTGGGTTTTTGTAATACTAATAATATTTGTTTATTTCCTTCCTGGTAGCCTCTCCCTGACATATGAGCTCTGTTGAGAAGCCTCATGAATTTTGTTTTTACTAAATTAATATTTTTATTACTAACAATGACTTTATAGTAAATATATGGTGTAATATAGTAAATACAAGATGGAATAATAGTAGAAATCACCCCATTGGATTTTAATAATATCCTCTTAATATCAAAACTGGTTATTTGTCTATTTGATTTTCTAATTAATATCAGAATTGGTTATTTGTCTATTTGATTTTCTCATTTGGGAATTTTCATGTGAAACAGCACTTTAGATGGGGGGGTGGGAGGTAAAATATTCTTGGAGAGAAAGTAGGTTTCTGAAATCACATTAAATTTTGACTAATACAATTTAGAGACAAAATCCTGTGAGTCCCACTCCTCTCCAAATATGGAAAGAACAATTTGACTTATTTTTCAGTAGTGTAACTTGCTGTTATGACTTGCATTGTCATTAAAACCATCCGTTTACTCCTGAGGAAATTGGAAAAATACTGTAGATATGGACATGATTTTAGATGGATATAAATAGTTATTTGTCATAGTCAAATCAGCCATTTTAACCAAGAAAGATGTGAAGTTTCATTTAAACTTTTAAAAACTCTGTACACTTAATCCCGTGGAGAACAGTGGCCATAACCTTGGTGTGAATTGGCAGTGCATTTATGACGTTAGAAGCTGGTATGACCAGCTATGTCCTGTACTTCTTTTCTTGCTCTCTTCTCCAGGAGCCCGGGTCTTTGTGTCAGTCAGGTTGTAGTATCATTTTATGTCTTGAATGAGGGAGGGAAGTACAGAAGGGTGTATATTTCTCTTACCTCGTAAGTAGAGAATTATATCAGTCTTGGATCTTTTTTTGATCTTTTTTTTTTTCATTCATTGCTTGAGATTATTTTTAAGACTCTAAATAATCTAGAATCTAAATGAAATTGATGTCATGTTGGCAAATAAAGACCCAAGTGGGCCTATAATCATATTCCTACTGCAATACCTAATTTTTCCTTTTTCGCTTTCATTATCTCCTATAAGTAAATGCTGAAAACGTCCAGTTTTTGAGATTTGCTGAAGTGTACTGTTAATTTTTATGTAGAGACCTCCTTACTTGTCTCATTCCTGGAATGCTTGTACATTGATTATCTTAGCAGTAAATATGCTCTGTGTGACAGTTCCAAGGACTTAGTTGAAGAGACTTTCTAAGTAAGTGTGTTATTTGTCTGCTGGCTGGGCCTGGCTGTAGAGTGATAATACTGTTTCCTGATTTTGGGGGGTTGGATCTAGGTGCTGTATGAACTTCCCACCAACACACAGTGGTGCTTCGATATACAGTGGTGTCCCCGAAACCCAGCCATCCTCTCCGCCGCTTCCTTTGACGGACGCATTAGCGTTTACTCCATCATGGGAGGGAGCGCAGACGGCCTGCGGCAGAAGCAGGTCGACAAGGTAGGAGAAGTCTGGAATGTCATTCAAGGATCTAGTTTTCCTTCCTGCAGAGGAGCTTGAAAGCAATTCTGATTAAAAAATAAAACTAGATATTGCTGATTATGAAGGACCACTTCAGGTTTTTCTACATCACGTGAAGTGTATGACGTCCGGCAAAAACAAATTTTTACATTATTTTCCTTTTCTTATTAAGCTCTCGTCATCGTTTGGGAACCTTGATCCCTTTGGCACAGGACAGCCCCTTCCTCCGCTGCAACTCCCACAGCAAGCCCCCACACAGGCTGTCGTGCTGCCTTTAAAGAAGCCGCCAAAGTGGATCCGGAGGCCTGTGGGGGCTTCGTTTTCGGTACGTTGGTTTTGCTTACATGGACTGTCTGAGGGTAAGATTGGTTGTGAAGGGATTTTTCTCAGTAAAGTGTCCTTTCGGGACAGAGAAGGTATAGGATTTCAGAGTTCCTGTGATTAAAGAGGCTTCCCAGTGACAGGGACTGTTGGTGGGGCTCGAGAGGGAAGGAACACAGGGAACCAGGGCACAGGTAGGGGGTGCAGGGTGATGGCCAGTTCACCGGTGACCTCGCGGTCCTTGGTTTTGGAATCTCAGGCCAGTGTTGTAGAAGAAACTAGGTGTAAGGAGTGCTGTGCTAGTTTGTCCTTGAAATCGCTTTATAAAGTTCTTCACTCTTGCAGAGGTTGTTGTGATATAGATCCAATCACATCTTGAATGTGTCTAAAGATTTTTAGGGTAGCTCTGGAAATAGCATAGTTATGGGGTACGCTAGGTCCTCTGACCCAGGGCCCCACAACATTATGGACTAATATCTGCTCCACTTCTGATGTTTGTGTTTTATTTAGTATTTTATTTTCCCCAGTTACACGTAAAAACAATTTTTAACATCCACTTGAGTTCCATGTTCTCTCCCTCTCTCCCCACGCCCTCACTGAGAAGGCAAGCCGTTTGGTACGGGTTGTACCTGCGTTTAACGTGCATGAAGCTGAACTCTGTCGCCTTGCCCCCCAGACCAGCTCTTCCTTCCTCAGGACTTCCTTGGTGCTGTGGGAATCATCTTCATGCCCCAGTGTCTGTTCCTGACCTGCTGGTAGTGGGCCTGTTTCTAGTTCCTTTGGTTCCCAAAACCTTGATGTTATCTTCGGCCTCTTTCGTGCCCGCGTCTCCTGCCTGCAGTTAATTATTCTCTAAGTCCTGTTGATTCTTCCTTGGCAGTGGCAGGTGCACCCCTTCCTTTGCAGTCCTGTAACTGCCCTCGTTCAAGCTCACCTGTGCTCATTGCTGGGCTCCCTGTGGTCTCTTTCCTTGTTCCTTTTCACCCTTCACTGCGGCCTGATTGCCTTGTTGAAACAGAGTTCACGGGCAGACACCTGACATACACGTCATGGAGCGTGTCACGTACCTGTTCTGAGGCAGCAGGGTGACCTGCCGTCACACCGTGCTGGGTGTGGGGGAACCTTAGAGAATCGAGCTCTGCCCGAGCCTGAGAAGGAGCCACCAGCCTTTGCCCGAAGATCTCTCCTGAAGGGGGGTCTCTAGCTCCCAAGGCACCCTGCTCTCCTTTAGCTTAGGTCTAGTTCTTAGGCAGCTTTTCCTTACGGCAAGCCCAAGTATTGTTCCTCAAAAAGAATGTCAGCTCCTTGAGGGCAGGGACTAGTTTTTTTTTCTCTTTGTCTCCCCAGCGTCTGTGACAGTTTTTGGGGCATAGTAGGTGTTTAATAAATGCATCTTGAGAGTGATAGCTCTCTTCTTCCAACCTTATTTCCCACTGTTCCCTCTGCATGTTTACTCTAGTCAGACACTGCCTGAACTTAGAGATTTCGAGGATGCCTTTCCTCCTACTGAAAGGGCCTTCCTGATCATAACTGACATTTACATAACACTTACTTATATTCCATTCCTGTCCTTTCCCCGCTCGTCAGAATCCTGGTTTTCCTTCTGACCTTGCCCGTTAAGTCCCATTCCTGTTGTGAAGTCTTCTCTGACCGGCTCATGTTGCAGGGGTCTCAGGCCTCCAAACTCCTGCACTGCAGTGATCACAAAGAGGATCCTTTCTTCAAAGACAAGTCATGCCAGATTTATCTCATTTCCTTTTTGGAGAGGCTTACTAAATTGGCTGGCCAGGGGCATCCTGCAGATGGTGTTTACCTAGATTTTGATAAAGCATTTGGTGAGAAGGGTGTGAACTTAGATGGAATAGTCGAGTCAGATCATGTCACTAAGCCCTTATTAAGCACCTACTGTATGCCAAGTACCATGCTAAGAGCTGAGGATACAAAGAATGGAAAAAAACAGTCCCCACCCTTAAGAAACATACAGCAATACAATCAGGTGCATTCGGAGCTGGTTGAATGGCTAGCCTCAGCTTTGTCTTTAATATATATAGTATTGTTAGGAGGTTGAAAGTGGGCAGGAGTGCCCCGCTGGGATCTGAGTATGGCTCCTAGGTTGTCTGACATTTGTGTCAGTGACTTGGCTAAAGCCTTGGATGAAATGCTCATCTCAGTGCAGATTACACAGAGCTGGTAGGGGATGATCACTCACACCCGGTGATGGTCAAGCCTGGAAAAGATCTTTGTAGGTTAGAGCACTGGAGCAGTCTAATCAGATGAAATACAGTTGGGAGGAATGTAAAATCTTAGACTTGGGTTCAGAAAAGTGACTCTGCAACCCTGGCTGGGATGACTGAGGCAGCAGTTTAAGAAGATCTGGGGTTTTGGCAGACTGCCGAGAGCTCAGAAAGGAGTGGACGAATGGGGCTGCCCCCAAAGCCAGGGCCAGCTGGAGCCTCGTGAAGAGCGGCCGTTGTTCCTCTGGACTGAGCTCTGGTGATGTGCAGCGCTTCAAGAAGGACGTTGACAAAGTGCAGAACGCCGAGTTCGTGTCACAAGGATTAGTTGGGGAACTGGAGATGGGTAGGCCAGAGAAGAGAAGCCTCTGAGGGAGCATGTGAAGGTCTGTGCGGTGAGGAGGGGCAGGCTTGTTCTGGGAGATGCCGAGGGCAGAACCAGGAGTGGTGGAGGAGGACTCAGTGTCAGGAGAAGCATCTTCAGATGAGGTTTAGCCCGGAGCGAGATGGCTGCCCCTGTCTGGGAGCAGCAAGCAGAGGCAGGATGGCCGCTGGTGAGGGGTTATGGTGGGACGAGATGGCTCCCATGGGCCCTTCCCAATCTAAGAGCCTATCCGTCTGGGCCACTTAGGTGGCCCTTGGTGAGTATTCTCTTGTCTTCCCTTTTCTTTATGTCTGTGTGGCTTCCCCAAGGAAGCCCCGAGTTCCTTTTGGAAAGAGACCAGGTCCGTACTATGTGCACATATTGGGTTCTTGATGAACGTTTTCTGGTGGTCTGTGTTTGTGTAAAGAGCTTTGTAATCCTGGTACATTGATAAGCAGATTTTGATGTGTTTGCTGCTTGCCTGGCACTCAGAAGTTTACTTTCAGTCAAGCTGAATTGTCTGAGCTCCACATTTACATGTCCAAAGTTCTTACAAACCTGCTAGGGAAAATGGTGGTAGTTTTTCTTTATTGTGGGTATTTATGGAAGTTCTCTATCCTGGTCCTTTTATAGTTTGGAGGCAAGTTAGTGACGTTTGAGAACGCGAAGCCGCCGCCGGGAGCAGAGCAACAGGTGCAGTGCCACCAGGTGCACATCAGCCAGGTGGTCACCGAGAAGGAATTCCTCCTGCGCTCCGATTACCTCCAGCAGGTCGTGCAGTCCCAAGGCTTTGTCAGCTATTGCCAGAAAAAAATCGATGCTTCGCATACGGACTTTGAGAAGAGTGTTTGGTCTTTTTTGAAGGTAAAGCCTACCCCCTAGCTCATTCTTGTGTCATCTCCACTTAGCTGATGGCCAGTGACCTTGAGCAGACTCATTGATTTCCCATTCTGCCTTCCTCATAGCGACTGTTCAACAAAGGACTCGAAGGTAACAAGGAAATTCCAAAAGTTAGAGTTTTAGGAACCTCATGAGTAACTCAGAACTTTAGGGGGACATGTCTAGAGTGTGGGTGCTAAGAATTCTGCTTTGTATTTTCTTGTGAGATTTACTTTTGAATTACATAATTCACTATTGAATGGGGAGAGAGGAGGTGGTTCAGGAAGTAATTTTACAGTTCTATTTTTTTGTGTTTTGTCAAGTGTCAGAGAAAATGCTTTGCTTAACTGGGGGATTGTTCTCCATAGCTATTGGGCCAACATTTTTTTTTTTGCTATTATTTACCTGCAGTGTCTTCTTTTTTCAAGCCTGATTAATAGTTCCATAATGGGCGTGTATACTTGATACGTAGATTTAAAAATAATTATTAATGCCTTTTGTTTATCCATTGCAGTTGATTTTAGACGATTAAAAAGATGTCATGTGGCATTAGATTGGCTTTCATGAAAACAAAGATTTTTAAAGACTGATTTTAATTTGATGTTGTGTTTTATTTCCTAAAAGGTCAATTTTGAAGATGATTCTCGTGGAAAATACCTTGAACTTTTGGGATACAGGAAGGAAGACCTGGGAAAAAAGGTATATATAATAAAAAACTATAAAAAGATATTGTTAGGCTTATGTAACATTTAAGTCAGAGAGCGTTTTCTGTCTCATTATGATTTATTAAGGTTAAGCGAGGCACAAATCAGAAGTTTCTTTCCTCATGGCGTTTGCCACCGGCTGCCATGGAGATGCTCTCCAGTGGAGAGTCCAAACAAAGGAGGAATTTCCAAAAAGCCTGCAGTCATTCTGTGTGCAGATGATGGCATTAGTCTGATTGGTTCAAGCCTGAGATTCCTAAATGGGGTAAACCTGAGTCTCCAGACAGGAAAAACCAGGTGAATGAATGGACAGCACATTCGTTGGTGGTCCATCAGTTCCCGTAGCTTGAACGGATGCTCCTTAGCTATTTAGTTGGCTGTAATTAAATCCAAGAAGAAGATTGGAGAAGATTGCCTTTGGAAAATTGTGTAGTGCTTTTAATGACCCCAGACTTCTCCTTTAAATAAGATGTCATCTTCTTCACACCATTATTCTTGGCAGAAAAGAGCCATGTGTTGGTCACAAGTAAACTCTGACATGTTTTCAGTGAAGAATTGTACAAGAAGCATCGTGTGCAAAATTCCATCAGATGAGGGGCACTAGGCATGGGTAGAACACTGGCCCTAGGGTCAAGAGGACTTGAGTTCAAATGTGGCCTCAGACCCTTAGTAGCTGTGTGACCCTGGGCAAGTCACTTAACCCTGATTGTCTCCCTGCACCTCCCCCCAAAAAATTTATCAGACAAATATGACTGGACAAGGAGGTGGGCTAGTCAGCTGCCTGATGTGGAGGATGCATGGTCTGCACACTCTACTAGTATCCCTGCAGGGGTTTTTAAAAAATAAAAAAAATTATTTAAATTATTTTTAAAGATTATTGTTGTAATTTACATTATAAACATTAATGACAAGAGGTCTCTAGTAATAAAATAAAACAAGTAAGGAAAACTGACAATAAAGGGACCCCATCTGAAGGTGCTTGCAACATTCCACACTTGTAGCACCTCCCACTTCTTTAAAAAAAAATTTTTTTTAAGGCAATTGGGGTTAAGTGACTTACCCAGGGTCACACAGCTAGTGAGTGTCAAGTGTTTGGTTTGAGGCCAGATTTGAACTCAGGTCCTCCTGATTTCAGGGCCAGTGCTCTATCCACTGTGCCACCCAGCTGGCCCTAAAAAAATTTTTTTAACTGAACAAAAGTCTCTTTTCTCTTCTTCCCACCCCTCATGACATGAAAAAAAAAAAAGAGAGAGAGTAAAGGAAGAGCCCTTTTTTAATTAGCTGTGCACAGAAATGTGTATTTCACACCTTAAGTCCATCCCCTTTGTTGTAGATAGCACATTTCATCATTGGTCCTCTGGAATCACAAATGGCTGTTGTCTTGATTGACATTTCTACAATTATCCAGTATTTACAATTTTGCAGTATTAAAATATTTTATTTACAGTTTTGCAGTATTAAAATAAAGATTTTGAAAGGATAAAAGTCACACAGGAGGAGAGGGTATGAATGAGTAAAAAACTGCGTGATTAGGAGCACGCACATGTGGGAGAGCTGCATCTATTGACGTGCTGCAGCTGATGGGTCGTGGAAGGTCTGAACATGAAGCTGTTTGAAATCCACACACACAGATTCCTCATCTGGGAAGACCGTGCAGGAAATAGCATTCTGGTTCTGCATCCCTGTGAGGAGGAGTAGAGGTGCTAGCTGATGGCTGGTCTGTGGGCCGCTTCTGCCCCGCTGACACCGGCATTCCTAAAGCTGTCATTCTTTTCTCTTGGGTGTGTCTCACCCTTCAGGGCCTTTAGAGGCTTGGTTTGTATTCCATGCCTGCTGCTTCCCAGGTTTTAAAGCTTCAGGACAGATTTGCGTCCCTCCTCACGTTACTGAACCCCCCCTTTGACTTGCTGGTATCTTGTCATCGAGGCAGCAGAGACTGTATCTTAGTGGCTTCTCTGTTTCTGCTCATTCTCTGAGTAAATTAATCAGTCCTGTACCCTGTCCTTCCTGATTAATGAAAATGCCACAGTAGTGTGTGCATTTTTCCTGCTGTTTTATGTTCCGGACCCTTGTTGCCCCAACAGCTCGTCACTATGTTCGGTAAATAGACTAACGGGTGCTTGGAGGTATTGTCAGGGGAGGACGAACGGGTGATTTTTGAGGTTAACATTGTCACGTCAGCTATTCCATAACAAGTGTTTGTAATGTATTATTGGCAGTACTTGGTAGTGAAATGATGTGAAATGGGTGAAATTTTCTTTTATTCCTGACATAAGAATTTACAGTCTGAGACAGGATGTCAACAGCAGCATGTTTAGTGTGGAAAAGACCTTCGAAGTTTAAAGAAAAAAACGAATGGTAGAAGAGGAAGTAATAGAGAAGAATTTTCTAGCTGTCCATGCAGAGCTGGTCCTTGTATCTTAGAGCTTTTTTGATGTCCTTTTCCTCTGAACCCAGAGGATGTCTTTTACTGCAAACCCACCAGTGTTGGTATGCCTTATTTGTTTTTTGGCTAGGCAGTGGGGTTAAGTGACTTGCCCAGGGTCACACAGCTAGTAAGTGTTATGTGTCTGAGTCCGGATTTGAACTCAGGTCCTCCTGAATCCAGGGCCGGTGCTCTATCCACCGTGCCACCTAGCCGCCCCTTGGTGTGCCTGATGAAACACTGTGTCACTGTGCCATAAAAATGTTGACTTAATTGAGTTAAGATTTTAAATGCGATATCTGTACTTTGCTTGTATAGTGAGTAAAGAGTTTCTTTTCTTTTATTTATTTATTTGTTTTCTTAGAATTCATTTTAAAAAATTTTTTTATTAATTTATTTTGATTTATCAACAATCACTTCCGTAAGCTTTTGAGTTTAAAATTTTTCTCCCCTTTCCTCCTCGCCATCCTCCTGAAGATGGCATGCAATCTGATGTTGGCTGTCCATATACATTCCTATTAAACATATTTTCACATTAGTCATGTAAGGAAGAATTAGAACCAAAAGGAGGAACCACACGAGATAGGAAACAAAACAAAACAGAAGAAGCAAACAGTCTGCTTCGATCTACATTCAAACTCCATAGTTCTTTCTTTGGATGTGGGTAGCGTTTGCCATCATGAGGCCTTTGGAGATGTCTTAGATCCTTGCATTGCTGAGAAGGGCTAAGTCTATCAATGTTAGTCATAGCACAGCATGGCTGTTACTGTGTACTGTGTTCTCCTGGTTCTGCTCACTTCACTCAGCATCAGTCCATACAAGTCTTTCCAGGTTTTTCTGAAGTCTGCCTGCTCATCATTTCTTCTAGCACCATAGTGTTCCATTACATTCATATACCACACCTTGTTCAGCCATTCCCCAGTTGATGAGCATCCCTTCAACTTCCAATTCTTTGCCACCACATATAGAGCTGCTGTAAATATTTTTGTACATGTGGGTTTATTTTTCTTTTTAAAAACAGATTTTTATGGAAGTCTGTTATTTTTCTATGACCTAGATTTGCCCCGTATTTCTCCCTTTCCTTCCCAGAGAATCATCCCTGGTAACAGAATTTTTTTTAAAAATGAAAAAGAGGAGGAAGAAGGAAAAAATCAGCAAAACTAATCAACCTGCTTAAAAAATCTGATGTTTTATACAGTGCTTCACACCTCTTGACCCCCACGTACGTAGAAGAGCAGAGGCATTGTCTTCTCATATCTCTTCTTTGGAGCCACGCTTGAAGAATCTATTTGTAAAGGATACGTACCCCAGAGACACCAACATGATCATCTTATTAAATACTCTAATCTATGGGATGCATTCCTCATGCTCTATAGGTAGCTGCAGTGAACTAGGGGATATAGTGGATAGAACACTGGGCCTGGAGTCAGGAAGTTCTGAGTTCAGATCCAGTCCCAGACACATAGTAGCTGTGTGACCCCGGGCAAGTCACTTAACTCTGTTTGCTTCCATTCCTCCTTTGTATAATGGGGATCCACTGGAGAACGAAATTGGCATACCATTCCAGGATCTTTGCCAAGACAAAAGTCCATGTTATTGGACTGAATAATAGCAACAATAACAGATAGATTCAGAATCTGTCAGGGAAAGTCTTCTCATTTTCTCAGTACCTTTAGAATCACATGCTCAGAAACATAATTCCCCAGCCTTTCAGTTTGACATAGTAGGGTATGCCAGATTTTCACTTTAAATGATATTTGATAGCACTTCAGTTTTGACCAGTATGGCTAATTGGCATTAAATATTGCATGGTAACCTGATTTTTTTTTTGTAAGTGATTGTTATAAATTATGAATTTTAGATAGAGTAGGATGATACTTACATGTATTTTAGCTGATAGTGAACAACAAAAAACTGGGTCATTGGTGTATGTGGGCTTATTTTTCACTTATATTTTTTCTTCCAGTTTTAGCAACATACTTGGGATTTGGGATTTGAGCTTAGGCAAATAGCTTGCCCTTTAAATCCTTGTTTGCCATTTTATAAGATAGGTAAGGTATTTAATATTTATTAAGCAAAGTGTATTTAATACTATATAGCCACTTTCTTTGGATTTTGCAACAAGATGGACACTAGATAACATAAAGGTGTATTATAGGTAGCCAACAGTAAAGAAAAAATATAAGTCGAAATATATCCTAACTTCACAGTGGCAGTTTTATTTAATGCCAGTCTTTCCAGCATGGGCACCGAAAATGAATTGCGTTATTTAAAATAAAGAGCAGTGAGAAAAATAACTTTTAATGACTAGGCAGCAGGGAGTGTTAGCATGTCGGATTTCATATAAATTAAATTGGTGCTGTTGGAGAACCAATATTGGCCACTTGTTTTGTGAATATACTAAAAACATTTTATTCTCTGTTTCAACATTCAGGGTTATTTTGCCATTAAGAATGTAGTAAGAGGTGAAGTTTTTCCATATATGCTACAAAATCCACTTAATAAATCTTTTGTTTTGTTTCAGATTGCTTCAGCTCTGAAAAAAGGAGAAGGGCCTGACCTTGTAAGAGAACACAAAAAAACTTTTGTCTTTTAGTTCTTTATCTTTCAGGGAAGGGCAAGATGCATTTTTTTCCCCTCCTATTCCATTAATGACAAACTAAATCTTGCTTTGAAAAGTTTACTTCAAGGGTGTGATTCTTGATTTAAGACATTTTTTCTTGCTCTTTTAAATATACGAATTCTCTGTCAGAAGAGGAATCACTACAAATTAGGATTTAGTGTATTTGTGAGCTGAAGGTAGACAGGAAGGGGATGAAAAGCATTGTTAACTAGTTGTTATCATCATCATCATCATCATCACCATCACCATCATTATTATATTTTCATTGCCTGTGTTTTACTGTTTCAAATTTAAAATCATTTCTTGTTGCTGCTTATGGGCAGGCCTATTCTGAATATTTTTAGGTCTTCTGGATTCCTTGTGCACTAATATTCTTTAACTCTTACATTCTCTCAACTCTGTGCTTATTTTCTGTGCCACAGGTTCTTAAAGATTCTGACCACCTGGCACCAAGTGATGGTCAAGAGAGCCGTGCTGCTGAAGAGGACTTTTTTGGAGGGGTATTTATCTGTGTTGATTGTTAATTGTTGGACATGTGTTTGCGGAGTGCATCTCATAACTGCCTAGCTTTGCATATACATTTTTCTGAGCCCTTCGCCACATGCTGTTGTAGAATTGGAGATATTTATGTGCTTAGCTTGATTTGTGTGTCATGCCCTCAGACTGAGGGGTTTGTGCCCTTGTGTGACTGTGACCTTGCTCTCAAGAGTATATGTACCCTGAGCATCATTTGAACTAAGATCATGGCCCAGGGGATACCCCAAAATATTGAAATGAAAAGCAGGAGATTTTATTCCACAATGCTCCATT